CACCTCTGCAGCCCCGCACCCTGCCCGCCTCCAGGCCAAGTGGCGCTGGCCTCTCCCCCGCCTCCCCGCCTCCATGCCGGCGCACTCACCCGCGGTAGTAGGCTTTCACCCGGACCTGGTGAGCATGGTCCACGAAGGCGCCGCCCGCGATCGGGTGAGACATGGTAGTGCTGTCCCTCTGGGTCGGCATCTCCTGGCTCCCCCGCCTTGACGCCGGAGGCCGAGGTCCCCAGTCAGGGGCTGTGCCTGTCCCAAGGGACGCGGCTGTCTGCCACGCGGTCTCCCTCTGACCCTCTGGGCTCAGAGGTCCGGCAAAGGACCGGGGGGGGGGAGAGGAAGGAAGGCGCTAACCACCCCACCCAATGCCGAGAGAGGGTCTTTCGCGGCAGCCGTGTCGGAGAGCACGCGCAGGCTCCGTCGCTGTCGTTCCATGGAAAGCCCTCTCCCTGTCGGGAAAATGGTAGCGGGGAGAGGCTGCGGCATCGCACCCCGGTCTCCCGACTTGGTGGCGTCCGTGGTCAGCCGACTAGGGATTCGGGGAGATTTCCTGAGCGGGTTTCTGGGATTTGGAGTCCCCGGGGGATTCTGGGACTGGAGGTTCCTTCCGTGCAGGGCGCCCCGCCTCCAAGCCGAGTGTCTCCAGCTTGCGCCCCAGGAGCCGTCGGAGTGGAAATCCTGAATCCAGCTGGGGCGTCCCAAGTCACTGGAAATGCCTGGGCTGCGTCACGATCTCGGGCTTTTTTTTCCTGTGATGAATTCTCCCTTCCGATTGCATTAATCATCCCCATTGTACAGTGCCTTTTTGTAGGAACAAAGTTTGATTACCTGCCCCGGCGGAGCCTCTTTCATGGATAGAATTAAATAGTGTAACCAATGTAATAATGAAAGTGATAAAGGAGGAAACTCAACTGAGGAAATATGATAGAAGACTGACTTTTCTTCCTTCTTGGCCCCCATATCTAGGACCGTGGATATTGCATAGAACAAGTGTACCATGAGTATCCAATCCATCCTTCCATCCATCCATTCATCAGCATTTTTTTCTTTTAACACTGGCTAACAAAGGATTAAAAGAATCTGTCCTTCCACTCGTCCTGGCTCTGTCACATACTGCAGTTAGAGATAGCATGAATCCAGCCCTGCATCAGTCCTGGTACCAAACTGTTTTTCCAAATTGGCTGCACCATTTTACATTTGTACCAACCATGTATGAAGGTTCCAACTTCTTTATGTCCTTGTCAACACCATATTCTTCATTATAATCATCCTAGTGTTTATGAAAGTGGTATGTCATTGTGTTTTTTTAAACAACTGTATTTTATTTATTTTTGTAATCTTTACATGAGGATGTGTTTATTGATTTTTTTAGAGAGAGGAAGGGAGAGAGTGAACAAGAAAGAGAAACATCAATCCGTTGCCTCTCATATGAATCCCAATTAGGAGTCAAACCCATAACCTCTTTGGTGTATCCTGGATGATACCCCAACCAACTGAGCCACCCTGCCAGGGCCTCATTGTGGTTTTGATTTGCATTTCTCTAATGACTAATGACTTCTCATGTTTTTATTGTCCTTTTGTATATTTCCTTTGGAGAAAAGTATCCATTTAAATCCTTTGGCCATTTTAAAGTTGGGTAATCTTTTTTTTTATGGAGTTGTTTATATATCCTGTAAACAAGTTCTTCATTAGATGATTGCAAATATTTTCTCCTATTCTGTGTTTTGATTTTTCATTTTCGGGTGGTATCATTTGCAGCACAAAAGTTTTTAATTTTGATTAAGTCTAATGGGTCTATTTTTTGTTGTTGTTGCCTGTCCTGTGGATGTCATGTCTAAGATTTTGCCTAACTCAAGATCATGAAGATTTACAATTATTTTTCTTCTAAAAGTTTTATAGTCTAACTCTTACATTTAGGTCTATGATCCATATTGCATTAATTTTTTGTGTGTAATATAAGTAAGTAGTCCAAATTTGCACATGGATATCCAGTTGTCCCAGAACCATTTGTTGAAAAGCCTATTTTTTCCCATGAATTGTCTTTACTCTTGTCAAAAATCAATTAACCAAAATGTGTTTATTTCTGAACTAGGAGCTCAGTGCACGAATTTGTGCACCTTGAAAGGAACTGTGGGCTGTGAGGCTGTGGTGGGCACAGGGGTGGGTCTCAGCCCATCTTCCACATCCCCACTTGCCCCCTCCCTCTGCAGCCCCCAGTCCCTGTCTGCCAGCAGCCCTGCTCCCACACACTCCTCCCACACACTGATGGTGCCAGCCCTGCTCACACCCACTGATGGCGCAAAGTGATTGGGGCGATGAGTGGTGGCTGCTGCCCCAATTGTCCCTCAGGAGCAGGGGAAGGTGGAGAAGCCCTCAGGGGCGATCGAGGCCAGCGCCGGGTGCCAGCAGCAGGTGCAAGCAGTGGCTCCGGTGTCGGCAGCAGTTGCAAGCAGGCCAGCGCCAGCAGCAGGTGCGAGCAGTAGGCGGGACCGTGGTACAAAGGAGCAAAGAATTTTCAGTAACCACCAGAGACTCGCCCCGATGACAGTGACGGGCGCCACGCCTTGGTCTGGCGCTCCCACTCACCTGCTCCGCCATCCTGCCACCCACTCTGTTCCACGTTCTGCCACCTGCTGCTGACACCCATCACATTCCATGGGTGCACGGCACTGGTTGTTCGGTTGTTCCACCGTTCAGTCTATTTGCATATTAGGGTTTTATATATATAGATTCTCAGTTATATTCCATTGATCTATCTATCCATCCTTGTGCAAGAATCACACTGTTTTCATTACTGCAGCTTTGTAGTAAGTTAAAACAGGGAAATTTGAGTCTTACAACTTTGTCTTCTTCAAAATTGTTTTGACTATTCTGCATCCCTTACATTTCTATATAAATTTAAGGATTGATTTGCCAGTTGGGATTTTGACAGAGACTGTGTTGAGTCTGTAGACCAGGATGAGGAATATTATCATATCAACAGTTTATATCCTATTCCATGAACATAATATATCTTTTTCATTTACTTAGGTCTTTAATTTCTTTGAATAATGTTTTCTAGTTATCATAATAAAAGTTTCGCATTCCCTTTAACTTTATTTCTAACTTTATTTTATTCTGTATGTTGCTATTGTAAGTGACGTTGTTCTCTTAACTTGTTTTTCTCTTAAACTTTTTCAATCTAAATGAGTATTTTATTCTTTTACTAGTGGCCCGGTGCACAAAATTCGTGCACATTAAAAGGGAATTAATTAGAGGAAATATTTTAATATTGCTATTTGCCCTTTCTCTATAATAGAAGTGTCAGAGATGAAAGAAAATTAGTAAAATGTATATGAAAATCTCTCTCCTGTCAGAGTCTGAGACATGCTGCAGGACCCAGAGTCAAGTCCTTGCCCACCTGCATGCTCCTTGAAATCATGCAAGACCCAGACCCAGCCGGCCCCATCCCCATCAAGCCCCGCCAGGTGGAGGGCGTGACCTCAGGTCCCCCAGTGCCGCCTCAGTTCCTCCGGCCCTGTGCCAAGGCAGGGGGCATGGCCTCAGGTTCCCTGGCCCCAGCCCCAGGGTGAGGGGCGCAGCCTCAAGTCCCCCGGCCTGGTCTCAGGTCCCCCGGCCCCGGTGCGAAGGCACGAGGGCCTGACAACCATTTGCATATTATCTCTTTAGTATATAGGATATGCCTGGAATCCTGAAATATTTGAAAAATGATTGTTTAAAAGTGTGTAAGTTTCATGAGGTTTTAGAATTTGATTTAACCTGTGAGTCCAAAAAAAATGGTTCTGACACCAGTGGCTTTTAACTCTGACTACACATGTGAATCACCTGGAGAGCTTTTATAAGCTATTTTGGTGGTGTTAGGAGGCCATCCCATACTAATTGAAATGACCTCAGGGAGGCATCCTGGGCATCAGGACCTTTTCATCTTTCTTCTTTCTTTCTTTCTTTCTTTCTTTCTTTCTTTCTTTCTTTCTTTCTTTCTTTCTTTCTTTCTTCTTTCTTGTACTTGAGATATAAAAGACATATAACATTATATTAGTTTCAGGTGTACAACACAATGATTTGATATATGTATATTTTGCAAAATGATCCATCATCACATGGTTACAAATTTTATTTTTTGTGATGAGCACTTTTAATATTTACTTTCTTAGCCACTTTCAAATACAGGATCAACTATAGTCACCATGCTGAACACTACATCTCTAGTATTTATTTATTTTATATCTGGAAGTTTGTACCTTTTGACCACCTTCACTCATTTCTTCAACCCCCACTCCCACCCCCAACCCACCAATCTTTTTTCTGTATCAATGAGGTTTTGATTTCACATATAAGTGCAATCACCCCTTATTTACCTTCCTCTGTTTGGCTTACTTCACTTAGCATAAAGCCCTCAAGGTCCATTCACATTGTTGCAAATGACAGGATTTTTTTTTCTTTTTTGTGGTTGAATAATATTCTGTTGTGTGTATATATCACATTTTATTTATCCATTCATCCATCGATGGACACTTAGGTTGTATCCATGTCTTGGCTATTGTGTAATGGGATAGCTAGACCATGGTAATTCTATTTTTTCAATATATTTTTATTGATTTCAGATAGGAAGGGAGAGGGAGAGAGAGATAGAAACATCAATGCTGAGAAAGAATCACTGAGAGGCTGCCTCCTGCATGCCCCCCACTGGGGATCGATTGCAACCCAGGCATTTGCCTTTGACTGGAATTGAACCTGAGACCCTTTAGTCTGCAGGCCGACGCTCTATCCACTGAGCCAAAACATTCTATTTTTAATGTTTTGAGGAACTTTCATACTGTTTTCCATAGTGGCTATGTCAATTTACATTTCCATCCTAATTTCATTTTTATTATTTATGCTAGTGTATAAAAATACAATCGATTTTGCATATACCTTGTATGCTATAAGCTTGTTGAACTTTTTTATTAGTGGTTTTGGTGGATTTCTTAGAATTTTCTGTAGTCAAGATTATGCCATTTTAGAATACAGATTGATTTCCATCTTTCTTTTCAATCTGGATGCTCTTTATTTCTTTTCCTTACCTGATTGCCATAGCTGGAATCTGGTGAATAAAGAGAGGGTGGACATCCTTAACCTAGTTTCAATTTTATATGAATAGTTTTCAATCTTTTACCATTAAATGTGATGATTACTCTAAATTTTTTTTTTGTAGGTGCCCTTTACAAGGTTGAGAACGTTCTA